ACCAGCGAGGGGCAGGTGAAATCGGGGGCGATGATGAAGCCCGGACGCCTCTTCTGCGCAAGAGAAGAGTGAGGTATGCGTAGAGTGTCATTTGACGGTAACAGGCCACGGCCGTTCTTGGGTTGCAGATGGAGACTGGGGTTAGGGGGAGGACAGTGGGGGGGAGGCAGTCAGGGCTGGTAACAGTCAGATCCTGCTGCTTTGATTTTGCTTCGTTCCAGTTCCCGGATACGTCCTCTTGCGTAACCTTCTCTGTGGTGTGTGTTTGCGATGCTAGATCTGTTTCGCCACTTGTCAACAACGATGCTACTGAAACTGCAGTTTTGAATCCTAATTTGTGTAGGGTGCACGCGGGAACATTTAGAACCTACGGCATCTACAATTGTCTGGCTTCGGTTTCATGCTACATTGGCAACGGCAGCCAGTTTACCGGTATCAACGAAATTTGGATACGAGGTTTGTACTACGCTACTCTTTTTTCAGCGATCGCTGGATCTATTAATTCAACTTTGCCACAAACAATCAGCGCGAAGTCATGATGCCTCGAAAAATATCCCACCAATTTTGGTGGACCATTCACCCGTAACAAAACCAGCCGCAATACTTCCCTTGACGATTCAACAACAACAACAACAGGTCTTTGATGGAGACACTCTCCACGTTAGATGCGTTGCGCCCCCAAAGTGAAAGCGGCGGCGAGCGCCCTCCGGACCGAACCGAAGAATACGACGACGGTGGTCGTCTCCGGCCCAGTGGAGTCAGGACCGCAGGTATCCGATTGACCTCCGACGCTTCTACCGGGGCCAGGTGGGGGCAATCCGTCTATGACCCTGGCGGTGGAGGTGATGAGTCGAACGAAAACGGTGGCGGAGGTGGCCCGGGTAGCTCAAAGAGGTTGTCTGGAGACGAGAACGACGAGGTTCGGGATGGGAGTGAGGTGCGCAAGCAATCTTCCGCGATCAGTTCATGATGAGTCATACGAGTGCCGTCACAGTGGCGATGAGTTTTTTTCCGGCGTGCAGTATGCCACGCGCGCAACGCTAGGTTGCTGGGATGCAGGTTTCCGAATTGTCACAATGGTACAATACTCGTGGAGGGTAGACAAACCATTAACCAACATATCGGCAACTTATGAGCAGAGAATGGTCGTTAGTTCCAACAGCATGGAACATCTCGTGGACCATTGCCTGGACACGTGCGGTGAAGAAAGCTGACGGTCTCCGCCATCGTAGCAATGTACTGAAGCGATGTCGTCTGGCGGTCTTTTCCTGGCGAATTGTGTCAACCTCTAGCGAACGAACACGTATGCAGGCAACGTTCCACGGAACTGCGGGAAAAACGTGCCATCACAAAAGAGTCAACACGTCGTCGATTACCCATGTATCCGTCAGCAACAGGGAAGTGTCGCCCACGTTGCCCAGTCCCATACACTTTGAGCCCAGAATGCCACGTTTGAATCGTTTTTTGAACCGTGACACAGTCTGACACCAGGCCAAAACGGCTTCCAGAACCACTCTTTGGCATTCGACTTACTCTTTTTTGCCTCCTTTCTTGCGCCTGTCTTCTTTTGGGGCACGCATCACAACAACAACAACACCAACAACAATGATCCTCGGGCACCGAAAGCCACCGGCCGGCAGCACTGATGGTGTACAAACGTCCCCAGCGCGCGCAATTACGAGAGAAAGGACCATGCTCGGAGAAGCTGGTGCCGGCGAGATCTTTGTGGCGGACGGCGTGGGGAAGGTCAAAAGACGCACAGGTACGGGGCACATTCCGCACGGGACTGAAGATAGAGACACCAGTGCTTGACATCTTGCTCCTTTATGCCCGGCAAACGCGACAACGTTAAGACATACTCGAGGTAGGTAGTTGCTTGTCACGCGCGTCTTCCTTCGCAAGTGACGGACTGGCTTGGCGAACGCCCAAGCAAACGCTGCCAGGGCGGTTCGTTGCGTTGAGATGAATACCCACGGTGAACGTCTGACCCCTCTTCACCGGTCGTCTATCTGGAGATTCCCACCTTAGTTCTTGTCCTAATCAAACTTGGTACTTCGAGACAAGATTACCTTGATGAAGTTTCATCCCTGAGATATGAACCAGGTTTCTGAAGTTTTTTGTGACTAGGCATTCTCAGTCGAGGGCTTTCACAAAGGACTTTGGATCTTTCTGGGTGTACCTGCGGAAGGCGCTTCATCATTCCTCACAAAACGTCCGTCTACAAAGGAAATACCCTTGATTTACGAAGCCAGATCCTCACGTCGTACTTTTACCGCTGCAGCTACTACTCCACTCGGTGAGTAGGACGGTATAGGCCAATATCGTATTGAACGGCACCGAAGCAAGCAGCAATTAATCATGAAGGGCCGACTCCAAAGGAATTGCATGTACTTGCAATCAATCGGCAGCTCGAGGTGGTGACAGCGGTCCCGTGTTCGGGTTCGCCATTTTTTTCGCGACAAGAGATGTATGTCTGCGTTAGCAAAACCTGCCTACTTGGGAATGAAGGTGATTGAGCATTGTCCCGGACCAATGACCTGCGGTCGTTGTCTGCTGGCAGTCTCGAGGAAAGCTGTATCCAAGCGAGGCAAGCAAACGGCCAAGGGTCAAACTACGGCGAAGGGGGGCAAAACGGACAGCAATAGTTCCGATGAAAACCAGGACGGTTCAGCGAGAAAGCGCAAGTTATCGGAGAAAATGCCGCGGAAAAGGTCAACAGGAAGATCAAGGTCGATGACAGTCGTGGATGTGGCCATGGCTGCGATGCAAAAGAAGCGTGAAGCCAGGCTGAAGGCAAGGGTCATGCTGAAGAACGCCAGAGGACTTATTTTGAAAGGACGCATGAACCGGTGAGATTCAACGGCCGTGCCGTTCCTGCCTTATAACCGTGTCCCTTGGAACCTTCCCTGTTCTCACGAGCTATCTATGCCAAACACAGGAACACAGGCGGGGCAAGGAGGGATGTAATTCGAACGTACTCTATTAGAATACCCCGTGAGTGCAGTCGGGGGATATCTAAACCCGAAACGTAACACGACCAGGTGGCAAAAACTGCGAATGATTGTAGGCCAGAGATGTAGGAAATTTACCTCGCGATATCGCGAACAGGATGCAGTCAACGATTGTATTTCAGACCAATCTAGCCGACGACAGTGAAATCTACAGGATGGAACATACAGCGGATACACGCCCTCGTTTCCCCAGCGCCCATGCAGCACTCTGCGAGGCAGTAGCTTGCAACGAAGCACCACATCTGCTGGTCATCCTAAGCGAGTTGAGGGCGCGTGTTCGGGCCGCCCTGGGCCTGTGGGATGAAGCTGGCGAAGACGTGCGTGTGGCGCTGAGGGGGTTGGAGCAGGGAGAAGGCGTCGGCGTCGACGACATGGATTCAGATGAGGAGCGTGCGGAGGTGAGGGGATTCACCGAACCAGCGCCAAATCTAGCACCATCAGTGGCCTAGCAGCGGTTGGGTATTTGGGCAGTGCGGCGGCCTGACAAAAGGTTCCATTGTGCTGGCTTTGGACGCTTTTTCGACGGGTAACACCCGTCTCCACCGTTGTTGCTGCTGTTGTTGATGTTGGTTCTGATCGCTTTCTTCAGAACGGAGCTGCACAAGTGAGAAAAGATAATCGATGAAAAGAGTAGCACGTCGACTCTAAAACTTGTCACTCATCAATGACAGTTGTTGAGCCTCAGCGTCTGTTGGCGACTAACGGCAATACCGTAATACCTGCTGATACTCTTCCTACCTTCCGCCTGCTGAACTCGACAAGTCAGGAGGCGAAACTGTCCGGAAAAACACGTTGGCGAGCGATCGTTAATCGTGCCGTCCTGCGCCGCCGCTACGCGAAGGCCAGCTTTGCTGCTGTCGTGTCCACTTTCCTCGCCGCCAGAAGAGGACTCAGGTAATCGATGTGGTCAACCCCTCGGAAGCGGGAGTCCCTTGTTCTTACCGTTTTGCAGATGCATTTTTGTCTTGTACTGTGTGACCAACTTTGAAGCTAGAGCCGCGTGAGCATGTCCACCATTGCGCGACCACCATTTCCCATCGGAGGTGTGATAAAGGGAAGATTCTCCGTTTTCACCAGGTGGTCGTAAACGTGCACGTAACAGTACTGGAAGTGAATGCATGCGACCTGAAGGCACCGTTCGCGTCAGGCCGAAACCTGCCCCCGCCCCCCCCCGTCGGCAGGGCACGGGTCATGCTGGTGGCGGCCAAATGCTTAGCGCAGCAAGAGAAGCTGGAAGCAGCAATCGTTTGCACTCGTGAGATCCGAGAGCTCGCAGATCGACACTCGGCATTGCCTGGCGGATCGAGCGGAGTGGCGAGCGTGGTCACCCACGAAGCGTACAAGTTAGAGGTAATAAGCTTCGCCATGTCCATCCCCGGGCCGTAAAACATATTAACAGCGCTTGCGCCGCGAGGTACACGAGCGGATCCCCTCGCGCCTTATTCTTTCATAGCCCTTGAGTTGCTACAGCAGACAAGAATTGCAAGACTTGACACGCGGATGCTGTTGTGGCGGTCCGGACTCTGACCACGTGACATGCAGATTCAGTGGCTGCAGGATACGGGACAGTTTGCCGCGGCTGTTCTTGCCGCCCGGGAGATGGACGCACAAGTGAAGAGGCACATCTACGACCAACACCTGCAGGTGGAGCAGGCTTGCGTTGTCCACTCAGCTACAAGTTAAAGTTATGCTTCTGAAATGTAGCCACCACGATTGTCTCGGAAAATTGCGTACTTCCACCCCGAAACTTGCGCAAACCCTAAACGTACATTGGCACTCCCTCGCGTAAACGAGACTTGTGGAACATGGCGGGGTGTAGGTCAGTTTCCTTTTCGACTGAAACCGCTGTCGTTGTGAGTGACGTGGCAAGAACCAGCCTCACGTTTGGGAACAAATGACAGTCTGGGAATCGACCCGAAGCATGCGGATAGAGAAATCCGGTAAGACATCCATGAGAAACGGTTGGAGGGGGAAGTCCTGAAGTACCTGATGAAGACGTGGGTTCGCACTGCTTCCTATTCGTCCTTTTGAGTGTCTACGGCGGTGAAAGTAAGGCACCGATCAATGCTGATTCCGCCTTGGCCCTCTACACCCGCAGGGTGGGGGGGGAGGGGATCAGGCAATAGCGGGAGAAAGCCGCGGCGGTGATGGCGAACCAAACCTGGGCTCCATCCTGTTCCAAGACGTGCAAAGGGAGGACGATGACCAGGGAGAGACCTACGAGGCTGCGGTATGGGCAAAGGTGGCCATCGCGGACTTGGCCACGCGAAACATGGGGCAGCGATATGAACAAGACAAAAAAGCCAACGGGACTGGTGGTGGGACTGGTGGTGCTTTTGGAGAAAGGCAAGCGACCTTGCGCAAGAAAGCGAAGAGGGCGAAGAGAAAGAGGGCTATTCAGCGCGGCAAACCGGGCGGAGGAAAAGATGACGCCGCTGAGGACGCCGCTGCTACACACGAGGTATGCGCTCTACAGAGTAAAAAATTTCGATAAGAGTTATTTTCGCGTAGGAGCGGGGTGGCCATCAATATGGGTGCGTAGGGTCATCGACCAGATCAAAGGACGGGGCTACTACGCGAGCGACCGCTACAGCAACCAAGAGAATAACCTGAAGGGAAAGCGGAAATACGACACAATATCCGTACAGATCAGTTTTCAAGAGGATGTCCAGGAAACGCAATAGTGCCCGCGGTCACTACAATGCACAATCTCGATGCCACCGATAACTCAAATTTGCAATGGTTGTGGGTGCGTGGTACACCGGTTGTATCAGCTAGCGAGTGAGAACAACGATAGCCTTGTAGAACCCCGTCCAGTTTGAATGAACGCCTGAGTTCCAAGGGGACCACAAAGTGGCCAACGGGAAAATGGCCCAAGACGATTTTCTTGTTTGGCGGCACGGTCCCAGCATTCGCGCACCTCACAAAAGCCGTCTACCGTTGAGCATCATATTTCTCGGACAATTTCGTAAACAATGCAGCCCCCACAGACGGGTGTCCAAGTGAAAATGAACTGAAGAGGTTTCTCTTAGCCCCCGTAGTGTTGCGGGATTGTTCATCATCGACCAACGAATGAACGGTGCTTCCACACCGTTTCCCGCAGACGCCGGACGCTGGAAACAGAGTCCCGTCGGCCGCCGCGGTTGCGATGTCCAGCCTCACCACCTCAGTAAAACATGTCATCATCGATACCGGCGACGGTGACAAACAACAAGATGATAGCATTGGGGGTCAATCTACAAGCGTGGTTTTATCGGATGTGGGGACGCATAAGACCCACACGGAAGGACAGGGAGAGCAGGCGGCATCCGCGGTAAAGCCGGCGATGACTGTAGTGGCGGCTGCTGCCGCTGAAACTGCCGACTCTGCTGCTCCCACAACGTCCTACCACCAAGGGCAACAGCAGGAACAATTCTGTCTTGAGGCTGCAAGCGGTAGCCACGACCAAATCTGCGACGCCGAGGGTGAGGAGCAGACGTCAGAGGAGAAAACAGGGAAGACGCATGATACAAAACAATCGACCAAGGTCGGGGCTGTGGCTGCTATGGGAAGCGACGGCTTCATGCCCGTCATTGATTCGGCAGTGGGTGGTAGGTACGGAGATACCGGCAAGCCTCTAACCGATGGTGATCATCAAAACAAGCACACGATGGGTGACAAAGCTGGTTCCGGCAAGGCCAGATTAGACAAGGAGAACAATAATGAGGGTGAGGGTGAGGGGACGGGCGAGGAGTCTGACGATTCGATAGACCTGGAACGAACGCAGGAGAAAGAACTCGACGATGGGAAAAGGGGTGAACAACGGACGACCGAAGGGGAAAATGACCAACAAAACGGGGTTGGAAGAGAACAAGAGTCTGCCGTGATGGAGGAAGAGACTGAGGGAGAAGAGACGGAGGAAAAAGAGTCAGAGTCAGAGGAGGAGGAGGAGGAGGAGGAGCAGGAAGAGGAAGCCGAGGGTCTCGCCAAGAATGACGAAGACAACCGTTGTAACCTTGAGGCAGTCATAGATTCGCTACAGCTCTTACTGGTGAGATGGTATGTACCCTCGTTTTATGGCGGACCGGTGAGGAAACGGTACTGTACTTGAAGCGAGGTTGGCTCCTGAGCCAAGACGAACGACGGCACTCCTTGATTAGTTCGTCTTTCAGTTACCCGCTGTTGGCTAAAGGCAATGCCTTACAACTCACATCATCGATATGATCGGGTTTGGGCGAACACAGGGAGACGAACGGATGGCGTGGCGAGCCGATGTCCGCACTCCTCGGGTTCTCGCAACCGCTATCGAGAAGCTCGCCGACTTATCTCAGCGCCGTGCCAACGATGACAGAGCAGACAAAACGATGGATCTACCAGGTATTGGTAGTGGTGCCGGGGCTGCCACCGAGGAGCAACCCATAAAAAAACGACCGTCGACGAGGCAGGAGATTCTTCAGAGCGGCGAAGAGGTAGGTAGAAGCCTGAGACAGTAGATTGACGAAGCTGCCTATGACCCAAGCTTTTACATTGTAGTTTGCGTTATCCAACAATCACTTCAAGATTGTACACTGATCATCACAGCAGCTTCCCATGGCATTACCAGAGTCTTGGCCAGACACGAATAGGCGAGTTTGTCGGCTTGCAACACTTTTCCGAAGAGAGAAGTCGCAGAACCCTTTTCCACGTCAAATCCAGCCCAACTGGTCTCATGCATTGTAAATCCAGTTAGCGCAGAGCCTACAAGTTGCCATGCGCACTCGAGGGGGTAATGTCGGTCCGAACCACCGAACGACCATCACCAACTGCTATGGTTCAGCCAGGTGTGACGTACCTTGAATAGAGAACGAAAAAGGCCAGTGGTTCGTGTGTTTCACTCTCTCGCTCCAATGTTGAGCCTGATAGAGAAAGCATGCTCTCCGCCTGTTGAGTAGAACCTCGACACTATCCTATCTGATCAACTATCGTGGTATTGACGACCTAACTCTCCGAGCTGTTTTTTTTTGCACGCCCGTCTTGCGCAGAGTTTGCGAGGCGTGTTTGCCGCGCTAGAGGGCAAACTATCTAGCTTGGTCGCCGAGTGGAAACCACGTTGGAAGGACCACTGCCAAGCGGAGAACATCCCTATCAGAAGAGGAGGAGGAGGAGGCGTCGGTGGGGGGTGGAACAAAACGAGAGCGAAGGTGAAGCGTGGTGGCAAGGGCGGCAGCAGAAGGAGTTTGCCTGATGTGGTGCACGGAATCCTGGTCTCCGCTGCGGAAGCTGGGGTCGATATCGAGGTGCGAACAACGCCCGCTGGACGGTACGACACACCATTGTTTCTTCGTTCCCTGTACCTCATCCGTGCGAAGACATTTCTAAAAGTACTCTCATTCCGCAATCCATCCGCCCAGGCACACGCTAATAGCGGCGGAAAACCAGCCGCTGACGTCCCAGAAGATGGGGTTGGAGTTGGTGGAACCAATAGCGGCGAAACACCAAGACCCGGGAGCAACCACGGAGGAGGAATGACCAACTACACCAAGAAGAAGCCATGGATGAAGCTACCGAAAGAGCTAGAAACCCTGCTGACTCACTTTCTGAAAGTACTACACATGATACCCGGCGTGCTGGAGCGAAGGTGAGATACCAGGTGCTTTAGGGGGGCACACGCGAAAGTTGCAGCCGAACCTGGTAACTTAGCCTGTTGCCTTTCCCCGTTGTCCCACATATTCGTTTTCCTTTTCTGATAGCCATCGCAATCCATATTCACAAATTACCACGATTTTCGGTCGAAATGCTCTTTAGTCGGCAGAATACTCCACCAACTCCCTTCCATCGGTTGTCATGTGAAAAATGCACTGTCGCGATATCCCTCCGCTAGTGGTAAAAACGCGGGAGAACATCCGTCCGAAGTACCAACTTCTTCCCACACGACGTGACGCGACGTGTAATCAGCAACCACCCGTAAACCCAAACTAAGATGATATGCCGGTGAAGGCCACATGTTCGATGCCCGAAAGGCGTCAGCCGTCTCCCTCGCCGTGCCAAAACGTGGGACACTGCAGGGCCCATCTAGCAGAGTTAGCTGGAGAAGATCCTACAGAAATCATCTCGCTCCTAGAGGCCGCAATCTTCTACCTTTACCTCCCTAGGACGAGCCCTCCGGGCGGTCCTCCTGTCTTCGGGCCGATGGTTTTCGGCGCGGGATCGGGCAAGGGAAACAGCATAAACTCTTTCCACGCCGCGACCCTTGCAGCAGTGTCTAACGCCGCCGGCAAGAAGAAAGCAAAAAGGAAAACTACAAGCCAGGCTAGAAGTACAAAGGCTCAGCAACAACCAATGGCGAAACCAGGCGGAGTGCGAACGAAGGCTTCGAGTCCCTCTCCGTCTCGTTCGCCTCCCCGGCACCGAGCCTCTCCCTCCCCCAGCCCCGCCACCGGACCCAAGAATAAGCTCCAACAGGCGGTATCAGCGCCGAAGGCGGCAGCGACAGAGGCAGCAACTGCAGCGGCGGCGAGAGCGGTCTCGCTTCTGCTGCCATGGGATACGGAAAGTCTTGCAGGTCTCCTGGCCGTGCACCGAGCCATGGCCGCGGCCCTTCTTCAGCTCGAGAGAAACCTTAAGTTGAACGCTGTGACAAGCGAAAAACCCGAGAATCAAACGAGCTCAAGGGTGAGCACCGCAATATCGACAGGTGTCGATGGTCACGGGGATCGAGATCATGGGGGCCATGACCTTGCCGATGACGCGAGTGACGAGCACGACCAGCTGCTGAACCGATGTAGAGAGCTGCTGAAGAGAGCAGATGCCAGCCTTACACTAGCGCTTGCCGCGGCCGGGCTTGAGGTCGGGCTCGGGGCTCCGGCCACAACCTTGAACAACGCCACCCCCCCCGGCTCTGTTTTCGGCGTGGTGGGCGATGGAAATAAAAGTCCAAGAGGGAGAATCACAGGAAGGGATGATCACGCCAACGGGAGGGGCCGGCCACGCATGGCTTCACGCACCACGTCAAGGAATCCTAACACTTCGGCCGACGACAGTGACGACAATATTGCGCGGCTCAACAACCTCACCAACCCTCCGCTGCCAGCGAACGAGATTATGGTGATGCCAATGTCCGAACGAGACGCGGACGTGGACCAAGTTGTGCCCGACCTCCACGACGGCTCCTCTTCCCTACACGATGGCGAGAGAAGCGACTCCGACGGCAGGTCTCCCAGAAAGAAGTCGACGAGGGAAGAGGTACCGGGGAGGCGGAACACTCGAAGCGCTGCCGCTAGTGGTGCTTTTGTGGCTGCCACCACACCTGACGCCGGCAGTGAAACGATGGCGGAGCTATACGCCATGCGGTGCGCGGCGAGAGAAGGTCTGGGCTCGGTGGAAGACGCCTGCATAGACTGTCGAAATGCTTTGGCGGCGGCGCCCGACGCGCCGAAGCTGTGGGCGAAGGCGGCGTCCCTCGCTCTACAAAGTGCAAGCGGTTCGGGGGGGAAAGGGCAGGCCGTCACGGATATCGAGGGATTGTCCACGCAATCTATGAAAACAAACTTTGACTATTGGGTAAGAGAGGTGAGACCTCTCGACGTGAACTCCTGAGAATAGATCGAGGGATCGACGGGGAATGTGGCCGCACGTCTAAAGTATAAGCACTTGGCACCCAGTGGGTGCCGTGCGGAGTTTGTGCACTAGCAGCCTTGCAGGACGAACCATACACATCTCCGCGCGCCCGCTGATCGTTCCTTCTTTAGTATCGTAGTCTAGAAGCCTTGCAAGAGGTATGCTCATGCTTGCAAACGTGCCCATACACCCTTCAACTTGAATGTTGGAAGCAATTGACCATACTCACAGGAATAACCTCCACTACTGTAGCTTTTTCGTGCGGAATGTCTCATCGGTTGGGGCGATGTGAACCCACATGCCTTTTCATCGACATGTGGGGGGGTGGGGGGGCGTACTCTTATGTTTTGCATGCCTTGGCGGTTAGACCGTTGACCACGCGTCCTCGAGAGGACGGAGCATTGTTCCCACAGGACCGATCACCGATGGCCAATCGTTCCTTTCTACTTTGCCAAAGGTGGCTCAAAAATGTCTTCCCTAGTCTGTCTATCCTAACGATATCCCTTCCCGCCTTTTCAACCCACCTCCTATGCCCCAGTACAGCTACCGTCCTTTCCTCTCTATTCCATGCCTCAAACATCTCCCTGTACGTTCCATCTATTTTTCCCAGCTCAGTCACGTACACTTCCCTCTCCTTGTACAACGGACATTCCGCGACTACATGAACACGGTCTTCGCATTCGAAGCCGCAATCACATTTGAACTCGTCGTCTTCCTCGTCTACCGTCCTATTTCTTCGTTGACGTTCTCGAAGGCCTTTGTCCCCGGTCCTGAATATGACCTTAAGCTTTGATCCTGCATCCATTGGTCCATGTAGATAATGCTTGAACACTATTCCTTCATCCAACATTCCGTACACTTCTAGACCCTTCTTATCCTTGGTTTCTTTCTTTAGATTCTGTTCTCTCTCGGCACAAGCAACAGATATCTTCTCCTTGAACCCCTTCAGACCCTCCGTTTCCAGCGTTTCATCTTCGTCGATGTTGACCCCCTTCCATAGGTCCTCTACAACCTTGACGCATTCCGTGGGTTGTCTACCGCTCTTTTTGTTTGCCCACTTCGCCTCCCATACAATTCTCGGCACTCTCTCCTCTCCCATCCCGCACATGCGATACTGCCATGTCAGCTTCCTCGCGTCTCTTCCCGACCGTAGGGATTGGATCCCCAAATCTGCCCTGACGATCATGTGGGGTGCCGGAAAAAACTCATTGGTCAAACCTGTGTATCTTCTTCTGTTTCTTGAAGAAACGCTCCCGAGGCCCGTTCGCCTTCGTTTTATCGTCAATTCTTGACGCGGGACATCTTCTCTCTTCCACTTTCTTTCACGGCCGCAGGCGGCACGTCTGGCTACGGGGCTCCTTTGTCTTTGCCCCCGGAGTTACCACGGCTTCATGCTGCGAGGGCAGGTGAGAAGCATGCTTTCATGTGCTGTACATCCCGCTGATGTTGTTGATTTTGCCATTGATGCTGGGACGTTGGTGCATGAGGGGCAAAGTGGTTCTTGTCCGCCGTAAAAAAACTCCGACGATCTTTTGTATCAGTTGCATGTTTTCTTTTCTGTGCATGCGACACCGATTTTTTCCTAACCTGTGTACGTCATCATCAAGAGAATGCACAGTGTCGAATCTGGTGCACAAAGGCAGAATAGCTGCGAGGAGAAAATAACTCCATATGTAGTGCTGAACTATTAATATCAAGCCCTAAGATGTGTGCTACACTCACAAAGCGAGTGGCGTGCCAGTGCTCAAACCAGCTTTCTAAGGAGTCAAAACTGCTAAGGCCTTTTACTTGCTGCCGTGTCGAAAAAGGCGGCGGAGAAGGCAGGCCACCATGAGCGGGCGATGCGTGACTACTCTCGTGCCCAGCACCTCCGCCCATGGTCCTCCACCCCGGCACTACTTAGAGCTAGGCTCGATTCGCGACTAAGCCACCTCGAGAAAGAGGTAGGCTATACTTTGACGCTGTTGTTGCCGTATGCAAACGCTTTCACTTTGGCTATGTTGTAACGCGCCTCAATTCTCACTGCGCATGCTCTCAACATCTCGCTTGCGAAAACGGTCGGGCTGCGGGAAAGGGACGTTGAGCGACCCAAAGCGATAGATGAGTGTCATCGCGACGCCATACATTGGTGCCCCCGTTTCACCGACTTCCATCCTCTTCAGAGAGTCCGAGCCTCATCAGCAGTGTATCTTGCGTGAAAGTCATCGTGATGAGAAACAACGCATGTTTCGCTCTGCCATGTTACTTATACTTTCCTTGTGACTACGTCGAATACCGTCACATACACGATCGCGTCAGGATGGAGGGACCGGCGAACGCTATGCCGCCGAGGCGATAGACATGATTACGAGATTCCTGTGGTCGCCTCTCCCCTCAGTTGGCACGGATACGACAAGGAGCCCCGGCAACGCACGCTTACGGGACCTTATGGTGAGTGTTAACCGAAAATATATCGGATACCGCCACTTGCAGGTAGCCTGTTGTAACACAGGTCCGTTGCTGGGGCGGGATGTTTGTCCAAGTAGCGCGGCTTCCTTCCCCCTGTATGCTGGGATGGTGCTAGTCGTACCAGCGACAGACAAGGAAACTAAATGCATTAGTTTTCCTGCTCGCACCGCTTCGGGACTAAGTATTTGTTTGTCCTGGTAACAGGTTGTGTGGTGGAAAGGCCGATTGAAGGAGCTCGAACGAAGTTACGGGCAGGCAAGCGCGTACTTCGAACTGGTGTACGAGAAAGACCCGACCATCGAGCACCTCAACCACCTCGCCAGGTTTGGCTACCGTTTGTTCTTCTACCGACATCGGTCTCACCCTAGAAATGACGCTTGGCTCAGGAGTGGACTGCAGGTTCAACACCGACGGCAGGGATACGCTGGCTGGCCGTGGTTATATGAACTACTCCAGTGAACGTACCACGGTCACCGTTGTTGCTACGTGGTGCTGTTTTCCTTTGGGAGTCTTTCGACACATCGACTGCCCAGTTGAAATAGTTCAAGAACGCCGCAACAGCGAATATTTTCCGCATTCCCCCATACTATTGCGAAGCCACCGTTTCCCTTCGCATTTCTCTTCCCCCGGCATTTATCTCGTTCGTCCTACCCTCATGCTCGGGAAAACAAAACACCACGCCAGTGCCTACTTAGGGTCGAAGCAGCCAGGAAAGGCCGACCAGGTCCTCTCGAATTTTTTGGAATGCTACGGTAGTGCTGTCGGGGGCTTGGCTGCGGTCGGAGATGCCGAGGACGGGGTGGCAGCGGTTGACAAGCTCCAAATGTCAGAGGCACCCCCTTTTGGAATAGACAAACGCTCACACGAGGGCTACTCGACCGCGAGGTGCGTGAACACCGTTGTTGATATTCGTTGCCGTTTCGGAGTGGGAGAGACACCCAGGATGACCAACAGCCTTTATCGCCTCTCAAGGTAGTGATTTGCTGCAGAGGAAGCTAGTGCTTGGTCGCCGGAAAACAGGCACTATATAGCATCGCCAAAAGATGCCAGGGATAATTTGGTCGTCCTTCTGCAGATTTAATCTTGAACAGCGAGAAACTTCAGGACGCTGTTTCGTCTACCAAGTGTAGCGACTCATCCCAAACAACGACCTTCCTACTAACTATTGCTCAACCTCGCAGCAAAGGTTGTCGCTAAACGTCGCTGTTAATTATTTTGTTATTCCATTTGGAATCAATTTCTTAACACACGTTGGGAAGCAATTATCTCGCTTTCTTCTCGGGGCGCCCGTTTCGGGTCTGCTACGATGTGATGTAGGTTTCGTTGCAGATCGAGTGCCCCTCTAGTTTGTGACCGCTGCCTGTTTTTTGACGCGGTCAAAAGTGAGAAACCATCCAACCAGCAACTGTAGGGCCTGTTCATCTGTCTGACGACTCCGATAACGTTTTTCATTCTGACGCCCCTATTTTTCCTGACCACCGCCCGTACGGGGTGCTCGTTGTCCGTGTGCGATTGCCTCCTTCCTGGTGCCCGTTGTTGAAACATCTCGTGCTCCGCGCATCCGAAGACTACTCCGTGGGCGGGCCATGTTCATGTTGGGAAAAGACGAACAGTGCGCGGCAAGCTTTCAGTCGGCTTTGGAGGTGATCGTCGTAACTACGTCCTTTAGCACGACAATCTTAATCTTTCATCTTTCACCAGACATATTATTTTCATGGCGTGCGAACGCAGGAACAAAGGTTGATCCAACTTTCTGAAACCTGCTGTACTTCCGACGAAGCGCAGAGAGCGTACTCTGTGATCTGGCCCCTCATGCCCACCCAGTCCTGGACCTTGCAAGCAAGTGATCTCGATATACGCCCCAGATTCGCTACTGCACAGTCCCCGGGTGGTGTATTGCGTTTCAGACACATTCTCCGCCGCCTTTGGTCGGACTCACCTCTCGCTGAAAGTTTGGAACATTGATTGCCAACAGCGCGGCACGTTTTCACTTCACAGAGTGCTTCGAATCTCCTGCCTTTTTGTTCCGACACGTCCATCGATCATTCCAGGGGGGGTTCGAGAAAGCGACCGTCCTCTACGAGTGGTCTCTCTCGGAGGCTATATCAACATGCATACGCTCAGCAGGCCCACGTGCCAGCATAAGCGACGACAGCGCAGAGGACACCGCTGCCGACAAGGTCTCGCGACGTCCATCCTTCCCTGCTGTCACGGGAATCGCAGCGTGGGATTCTGCCCTTCAGCAAGACTATCACAGTCGCTTGCAAGCTGAAAAGAAAAGGATAGCCGACAAGGCTGAAGCTGATTCATTTTCAGAGGAAGCAACAGGGGAAGTAGCCCACCTTTCCACCAGTGGAGGTATTGGTGCTTCTGTGGCTGCGGCGCCGTCAGCGGCGCCGGCTGTAGCCGCGGTGGCGGCGGCCACCCACCCAGGCGATGCTCCTGCTCCCGACGACGACGACGACGACGACGACGACGACGACAGGCCGTTTTTCGAGAAAGCCGACACAACAAGCACGAACGTCGGCAGCGAAGCGAGTCCCCAGGACTGCGAGTCGGGGCACGATGGCAACCAACAGCCGCGGAGCGCGAGCAACGTTGTCCACGGCTTGGCAGACAACGTGATACAAGACGAAGGAGAATGTCCGCAGCCCGCCCGAAGCGATAACCAGCAAGAACATCGGGCTGGAGATAAAGGACTGCGAGAAGGCAGGTTGGAGGACGAAGAGTCCCCGCTGCCGCTGGTGAGAACAGCGGCAGCAAACAACCCCTCACGATGCCGCGGTGTGAAGCGACAGAGGTTACCGAGGGGACTCAATGGAGCGCTCGAGCTGGTTTCGCGTTGCCTAGGAACGGACGGCTTCAACGCGAAGGCGTACAGCTTGCGCGCGGAGCTAGAGGCGCGACTAGGGCGGAGGGACCGCGCCATCGCGGACTACAAAGCGGCGGCGTCTTTGGAAGTGGGAGATCCTCGGTCGAGAATTAACATGGTGGGTACAGACGTCTTCGACGTACCCCACAGACAATTTTCTAGCGCTGTCAGACGGAAGCCCTCACCTATCGAAGAACGTGGGATGTGTGTTAAGGTAATACTGGTTTGATGGGCAACTAGAGGGTAGGAAAAATGATTCTCAGTCGGTTCCAATTCTTTCCACACGCGCGTTTCGTTCCCTGCTATGCAACACGGGCACTGTCGACGCTGAGGGCACCCCCCATCCGCCCGCCCCCAGGGAGTGGTGCACCTCAACGCTTCTCGGTCAGGTACGGCTTCCATTGAATTCGATGCCTTGGAGCGCGAATCCACGGGCTCGGTCGAACGAGTTCTGGCAGCGTTTAACCTCGGCGTGGCCGCGGCCACCGCGGGAGAGCTGCGAAGGGCAGAAGCGGCATTCACCCGCGCGATAGCCACCCTTGCAGCTGGGGGTGTATCACGAGACGTCACGAAGGTGTGCAGATATTTCTCCGGGGTACAACGCTAGCGTTTGGTCATTGGTATCTGACTGGTACCGGCATTGAGAAAGACGTTCCTTGTTCACGGCTATTTCCTCGTGCGCTTTAACATTCTGCACCAATCTTCACGTCAAGGTTACACATCAAGGCGACACACCTGCCCAGGCGTTAACCCGGGTTACTATACGTTGCTTCTCACGCTTTGAGGCGCCACAGATTTCAGATAGAGCATGTTTTTCTCCCTCACTGTTTTCGAGGAACGAACTTCTGACCCGATTGCTAGCGGATAGTTGAAGCCTCTTCGAAATAGTTTTGAAGCTGCTACGACTAGCTCCCGATCTTTCTAACCCTTGCTCATCCTGTGCCTTGAAACATATACTGATACGCGCATGTGGTTGGTAGTCCAGGACTCCGCGGCTGCGAAAAGCAGCAGGCAAGCCCAAACCAATCCGCCCATTCCACCCCGGTTCGTGTGGACTGCGTTATCATGCAGCTGATCACTCCTGCAGCCTGCCTCGCAAACCGCGGCCTCGTTCGGTTTGCGATGCAACGCTTTCGCGGTGCGGCCGAAGACCTTGGAGGGGCTAGCTTAAAAAGCTTCAAGGCACCCACCATTGGCGGCGCAAACACCAGCGACAGCGGCGTGGTTCCTGCTGCAGCTGGAACGCCAGGTAGTGGGATGACGCTCGCCGGGGGGGCGTTGGACACGCTGGACTGTGAGATTGGAAGGGCGCTCGCTGATGGACGGCTAGACAACCGAGTGTCGCGTGAGGTAACATAGTTTGCCCCGTGCCTAAAATGACTCAGTGAGCGGCGAGCCAGTGGTTGGGTGTGTGCACGGCATTCATGACACACACGAGGAAATGCGTTGTGTGTTGTGTATATCTCATTTTTTTGTGCCCGTACTTCCTCTTTCGAGTCGACGTTTTGGACCCCCTCAGAAGCACTCGCGGGGATGACGTTCGCGACATGCTTGAGGGGAAGTGTGGTACCGTTGAGCGTACCTCATCCCTTATCCTTCACTCTCTAGGTCCCTTACATGTTCCTTGTTTCGGATACCTCCCCGCAGCAACATATGGCTAGACTTCATCCTTCTAGACGTAGGCCCGGCTTTCCGGCGGCATGGCCAATCCTATTTGTCAACATACGCCGACAAGGTTTCATACGACCCGTCTCGAAGGAAACTTGTTGCGAAAGAGAGACGCGCGACCGATGGTCAGACGAGGGCAATGCCATTGCAAATAAGGCATCGCCTTCAGTGATCGAGGTGAGAGGGGGAAACGTCGATGTGAACCGTCCGGAATTTCGATACGAGAGTCCGTCGCGACGCCACTGTGCAAGACGTGGTTGTGACACACATGTTGCCATGCGGAAGAACACCCCCCCGCCGATCGCGATTCCGTAACAGGCGGCAAGAAATCGTCTGCGGAAGCTGCTACGCTCCACCCGGCTTCTCGCGTGTGAGGTGGCTTCCATTAGAGTCGGTCTCGGAAATCTAGCGGCGACGAGCGGGGAGGTCTGTCAAGTCGGCCTCGGTTATTCTCCCGTCCAAGCAGGAGAATCAAATGTGAGCCGCGAACGGAAATATTTCAGAAATCTTCAACGTTCTTGTTGGGGCTTGCGATTTTCCGCCACGGACGTTAAGTAATACGCAAACTCATGGGGCATTTTTTCAGCGCAAATATAACAACCAGCCCCGGCACGGCATTTCACCACAAAGACGTACGTACGCAGACGGGTTGCGCAACGAGCAGTAGTCTGCAGCAGCTTCCCTGTAATCATCCGATGCGCAACCATCCAGACTCGTGGGATCCTTGCACCCCCTCTGCTGACTCATCCGTCGACAATCGATTACGTCGACGAAAACCCTGCTCTGACTACTACTGGGCCAAACCACCTGGAACAGGCGGCAACTTGCGCCTCTTTCGCCGCTGAGCACGGGAGCGGCGCACGCGCTCTCCGAAACTTTCAGCACGCTATACACGCATGCCCCACGGCCTCCGCCGCGTGGCTGAACGCTAGTGAGGTATGCAGTCTAGGGCACACAAGATACCGAGACACAACGACGCAGATGACGTCAACGCTGTAGAAAACGAAGGGTGTATCCTCTGCCGTTAAATATCCGTCCAGTGCGGCCAAAGCGTATCGGTATCTTGAAGAGCGGCCTTTTGAAAGTGACACACAAGGTGAAGATGTGGCACGTCCGACATAGTCAATGAGGGTTTGCCTGACGCAAACGATGCAACATGAGTTGACCGTACAGGAGGGGGTTGACTTGAGCAAGACTCCACCATCAATGCCACAAAACCTTCTCAAGAAATGCGTTTTGTTCCTTGTGTGCATGCCATCGCCTTTGTATTGGCTGTTGTCCAATACCCGCGACATGCTAGTAGCAACGATGGTCGTGTACCCTAAATGGGAAATATTGCATACCGAACCCTGTGCGAGCTGGTCTAGGCTTCCAACAATATTTGACAAACTCGACCTCTTGGCCTTGTCTCCTTTCCCTCATCTTCAATCTCTATCGCGATATGATCAAGGCCCTTGAGACCGCCGTTGAACATGGCGACGAGACCACATCCTCCTTCGCCGGCAAGTCCAAAAATCAGAATCGGGAACCACAACCTGAAAAGGGGTCAGCACCCGTAGCAGGGGTAGTGCCGGCGGCCGGACATACCCCGACGAAAGCGGCAATAATTTATCCTTCGCTCATCCTCCTAGATTCCGTGCTCGCCATGGCCCCGACGCATCACGCCGCCATGCGCTGCCGAGCAACGACCCTCGCGCGGCTTCGCCGCATGCCTGAGGCCTTGGATGCCGCCGATCAGGCCGTTTCGGCCGCGGATGTCGCCGTCCGTACGGCCAAACTCAAGCACAGGGATGCCGCACTAGCCTCGGCATCGACTGAGAGGACCAAAGGCGATGTCAATGCGTTGCCCCAACCCTCCCCGCCTGCTACGGTCAGAAATAAGCACCCAGGACCAAGACATCACACCCACTGTGTTGCCTCCGTCTCGATGGCGGCGAATATGTGGCACACATCTACCACAGCAGGTGACGATGGCAGCGATGCTGCCGGCAACGGCGGGGGACATCATGGTGCCCAACATGATGATCCGTTCGCCGCCAGGACATCGATCGGTTTCATGCGAAGCTCTAAGGCCACGGTGGTGGTAGGAGGAGGGCTCCTCCTGACAGGAGGAGGGCGCACCGATGCGTTCGATCTCGCCAAGAGCCTGGTCCTGCGGGGCTGCCTCCTTCAGAAGAAGAGTCGGTGGAACCAAGCTGAACAGGACTACCGACGAGCGCTGCAAATCTGCCACAGCATTCTTGGCAGGCTAGAGGGTCCTTCGGATGCTTTCAGCTCCGGCAATGTCGACGACAACGGTATCATGGCTGACGGAGGCCAGAACAACGGGCTACTGGGGCAGACGCGTGAGACGCATTCGCACAAGGGGAGCGGAGACTGGACGGATGGTCAAGTGTTAGTTGGCGGACAAAGAGACATGGTAGATGATCGGCAAAAGGAATTGGGGGCATGCCGCGGGCTGTGGTCGGGCTATGACGCTGTGGATATGTCTGACCGTCAGGACAGGACATGTGAAGTGCTGAAGCTGAAACGCCTGATTCACCACAACCTTGCCAGCTTGCACTTAGCAGCCGTGGTCGGGACAGGCATCCGTGTTTCTCTCCGCAAGGTTCGTCGCACCGCCGTTCTGTAGAGCAAGAGAGTATTGTTTAGCCTGGTGCATCTACCAAGTCGGCGGCATACTCACGAGTCGTTCCGTCCCATCCCTTCGTTTCCAAATCACACCAACCAGGAGGCGATAGCACGAGAAATTGCAGAACTTTTGGCTTGCAATGAGCGGGTGGCCCAGGTCGCGTTCCGCTCCACTCAAAAGCTCGCCATTTCTCGGCAAGTTGCCCAACATCGGCATGAACAGTGGTGGCCCTCCACGGTCCTGGCCGTGGCCCAGATGGTCTCGCTGACGGTCCTGGGGCCAATGCCGTGGAATGGGGAAGCGACAACCAGCCACGGAAATAGTCCAGGGAGAAACGCCCGACTACAGCTCGGTTCGGCCGAGATAGCGGCTAAAATGTCCAATGGGTACGACACCGACGACGATCACAACAAGGTGAGGGTACGCGCTTGTCGCTGTAGGTACCGTCTTCATGAAGCTCTTCGTTAAGGCCCATTCCCTTCCAGTCAGGCTGTGCGGTAATCCACTAAGTAAGCTGGACTCCAGTGGGTGGTAAGCGGCACTTGCGTTCGTGTCGGAAACGTACAAGCTAGCATCTCGACCGTTCTGTGATACGGGGGGCAAACTTAGACGCCGGTGTGGCGACGACTCAGACCCACCCGATCACGTCGCCAGATGCACCATTTGGTAGTAGCGCATATTTCAAAGGGTCGGTATCCATTCCTGTGCTTCACACGAAGATTTCAAGATATTGCACGTTGCCCAGTATGAGAGAGGTACGCCGCTACGCGTACACATAGCTCAAGTGGTATGATGCAATCGGGCTGGGACACCGCGTCAATAGGAGGAGTCACGCCGCGTTTTGCACCACACATCGTCTCTACCTTACGATCACCGGCTAATTGAGTCCCTTTCAACATGCTACCCCAGGTACCACCAGGGCCCTTGAGCCTTGCCGGGGCGGCGCGATCGCGAGCGTTGTCTGCGATCAGCGTGAACCTCGCGGCGGCAGAGAAGATAGGGGCGATGTCGTCATCGACGGGACAAGCGCCGCCCTGCCCTAGAGACCGATCACACAAGCGGGAAGGTCTTGCTAGGGCCATCGCCGCCTTGAGCAACGCCATAACCCTAGCACCCACCCCGTCCCCTAAGCTGTACATGGGGAGGGGAGGCTTATATGCCAAGATGGACCAAGGCGATTCCGCCGACATTAGCAGCGGCGAGAAGGTGGGTGATGAAGCTGGTCGGGGTAAGAGCGACCGAGGCGGCATGAGTTTGAACGGCTACGGCGAAGCCGCGGCTTCGGACTTTGCGACGGCGCTTTGGATGGACCAGCTGCTCCAAGATCGAGCGGCGCCGGTGCAAACAACAGAGACAGCAGCTGCCGCCTTCCAAACAACGGCGTAGCTGCTTTGTACTGTGTTTTTCGCCGAGTACTTTTGTTGAACTGGACGAAGACACCCTTTTTGTGGGAGGAGGGGAGGGAGGGAAGGAGGGAGGGAGGGAGGGAGGGATTGAGCGAAGAAGCTAGAGTGTTCCTGATACACAGCGACCTCCTGGGTCCCCAACCTCGGAATAATGTGGTGTTGTTTCGCCTATTGGCCGCTCTATGTAGAAAGCACACCTCTTTTGGTTGTTTTCGCCCCCCTTTTTTCAGGTTGTGCATTTATTTCGGGTTGTGCGTGTGAGGGCGGCGGGGCAGCACCGGAAGAACGTCGGTGCTCTTCCCTCATTGAGGACACGCCTATGAAACATGTCGATGAAAGCGAACCGAGGTGGTGGCGTTCACACCACAGAGTAGGCCCCCGCATTTCATAAGAAAGAGGAGGAATATGTAGACTGGCGAACCATCAATGAATGCTTGGCGGGGTCAAGCCAAACGCGGTTCGCTACCTCGAACCTGGGCAATTGGAAGATCACAAACAAGCGTATTATCCACCACAAGAACAGGCACATCAACCGATATCATTCCATGAGGACTGGATGGAGCTCCGCAGAGTTATCTGTAAACTTACCCGCCTTTGCCCCGCGCTCCTTCACTTCTGACTTTCCGTTTGAGGAAGGAACGTGGATGCGGCGACCCATCCTGCCGGGAGGACCACACGTTCCATTGCATGGATACCCTACGATGCAATTGTACTGGTGAAAAATTGTGTTCTTCGCCGCCGCCGTCGTCGATGTCGGTGTTGTTGTCGGTGTACGTGTAGTATGTAATACAGCATTTGTGTCGATTATGTGCAACAGTGTAACTGTAGTCTTCAAACAGTTGTCGTTGAAATTGTTGTCTCTCCGCGTTTAGTCGTTGTCTCTCCACGGTTTTAGACTGCTCATAAAAATTATTACAGTAGTAGCAGCACATCGCCACGAGGAGTACAGCAAGCAGTAGTAAGTATTGGTGTTGTGTCGTCACATCCTTCTTGTACACCCAGCAGCAGCAGGTTATCTGAATTTGGGGCTGGTTGGACCGTTATTATTCCCTCCGCGGCTGGTTTCGAAACGAGAACCAACCGTCTTGTCGTTTATTGTCCGGCTACGTCAGACAGAGCATGCTACTTACTCTACTTCATTCAAGAAACGCGCGCAGACATCCACAGAAGTGGTAATTATAACGTCACGCTACTACAAACAGTATAAAATACCTGGTTTGAGAGAGAGAGAGAGAGTGGTGAACGGAAGGAGGACGATGATATGCATGTATTTGCGTATGTATGTAGACTATGTGTATTGTAGGATATCTGATGAAAGCAGCAACAGCATGCATGCATGTCAAGCGAACGGGACCGAAACAAACACACACGAACCGAACGAGTTAGTCTCGACAGCAGAATCCTCGGTACACGTACTACCTGCATTTCTCGCCATGTGCTACAGCACCGTTTCCGTCTTTCATCCGGAGAATAGTATTATATTGTCTATCTAGGCTCTCCCATGACTGACGCCCCCTCACTGCTGTGTGTCCACGATCATGGCCTATAGAAGGAGACGCGTTATTTTCCCTAGTCAGCCGCACGGAACGACTGTCTGTTTTCATTGGTCAGCGGGTTAAGCCGGGTCGGTCGATGCTAATAATGGCTAGTCTACAGAAGAACCACTTTCAATTTACTACTACTACTGCTGTAGTATCACCGCTCGCTCGCGGGGAAATAAATAAGTGTATGTGCCTTCAAACAAACACGAAAGACACGCGATGCGCGCGTACGTACGTACGTGGAAGCACGCCGTGCTGTGCCATTCATAGACAGCAGCAGGCCTGTTGTGGTCAATGGGAAGCAATCCCCCCTACCCGACTTGTGCATGGCGCGCCAACCTCCAAGAAAGAGTACATCTTGCGCTGACATCGGCAGCCTACCCGCTGTCCAGCTTGTAAGCAGTGCACCATCCACAAGAAGTGGTACACCTTGCACCGCCATCGACAGCTTGACCCCTATCCGGCTTGTTAGCAGCGCACCAACCACCAAGAAAGGGTACACCTTGCGCCGCCATCGGCAGTCCGCCCCGTCCAGCTTGTTAGCAGTGCACAACCACCAAGGAAGGGTACACCTTGCACTAGCATCGGCAACCTGCCCCCTGTCCGACTTGAAAACAACGCGCAACCTCCAAGAAAGGAATACCTTACACAACCTGGCCGCCCTTGCATTGCGAGGATTACCCAAGGTGGTGAGGTTGCAACTCGTGCCAAAATAATCTCGATTCAGGTTGGCAAAAGTGCCCCTACAACCCGGTCTGTTGGCCACCCGTGTATGTTGTGCATGGTGGCATGTTGGGCTTGTACAAAGACGCAGTCCATCTTCGACCACACACAAAGGATTTCGTTCGTACCTGTCGGAGTTTTGGAGGGCCCAAGTCAGTCTCAAGCAGCAGTAGGAAGGAGCGAAAAGGCGCAGTGCTTCTCTACAGCTTTCGAGTCCGCCCTCCTCAAATCCTAACGGAGATGATTACGTATCGCACAACGGCTGGATCCGAATTGCCGGCTAGCTCCGAAAACCAGGAGAGGTGGGGGAGTAACTCAGACGAGTGGCTGCCTGTGCGCTCCTTCATGTGCATACTTGGCTGACTCTTTGAAGGGTAGAATTCTGGTGAACCTTCAGTGGAATTTTGGTNAATTTTGGCGGCATTTCGGCATTTCCGGTATTTGCCGTTGTCACCTGGATGCATGGGACACGTAAATTTGTCACTCTACTTGCAAGGGACACGTTTCATTTTCAGTGTTCCCCCTTGCGGTTTCGCTTGAGAGCATCAGTAGATCAGGAAGGGTACGCAGGACCAACGTCACCCTTGTGGACCAAGAAGGTTGACAGTTGCTGCTCCATTCGTTGGCATTTTCTTGTATCGACAGCAGTTAGTTCTAGTAGTGTTGCTCATGGTTGACAGCCGACAATATAGATAGCAAATGATGATGCTAAAATAATGTAAGAACAAGAACGCCCCTTTCTGGAGAAGGATGGACGACGACNCCGGTATTTGCCGTTGTCACCTGGATGCATGGGACACGTAAATTTGTCACGCTACTGGCAAGGGACACGTTTCATTTTCAGTGTTCCCCCTTGCGGGTTTCGCTTGAGAGCATCAGTAGATCAGGAAGGGTACGCAGGACCAACGTCACCCTTGTGGACCAAGAAGGTTGACAGTTGCTGCTCCATTCGTTGGCATTTTCTTGTATCGACAGCAGTTAGTTCTAGTAGTGTTGCTCATGGTTGACAGCCGACAATATAGATAGCAAATGATGATGCTAAAATAATGTAAGAACAAGAACGCCCCTTTCTGGAGAAGGATGGACGACGACATAAGAACTTGGCAAATAAGAACTGGTGCTCGGGTTGGGGCAGCCAATAAGAACTGAGCCTCGCCCGATATAGGAGATTCTTAAGTAAGTGCGGGCCAGCACTGCTGTATTTCTTTCCCTGCAATAGGTCCACTTGTTACGATGTCTTTTTTTAGGCTTTTTTAAAGCTGTCTTTTTTTCAAAAAATGACAACTGACAACTGGCCAAATAGCCCCGTGTTACAACGTCTTCTCTTGCTAAAATATGACAACGATCCTTATTTGACAGCCTATAACACGAGGCTTTTTGGCCAGTTAGTTGTCATTTTTTCAAAAAAAAGACAGCCTAAAAATAGCCCAAATAATGACATCGTAACAAATGGACTATTAATATGCGCACGTTTTTCCTTTTGGCGCAGGCCAAATTGATTGGTGGTTTTACTGACGCAGAATATACTGTATATAGAAACCAACACCAATCAGCCGAATGGAGGCATGGTGCTATGTTTGGCTGGCACATCTGATGAGTTTCAGCTTCAGTGTCTGTCATGCACCATCGTTGTTCTTTTTTCCGCGAGAGTTTGGCGACGACAAAGTCGCTCTAACAGTGTCTGTCTCTCAGTGTTTTTTTTTTCTTCGGCGAGAGTTTGACTGGCAACCAATGGCTGTTCTTTCATGTCTAACAGGCAGCCCCCCCCCCAAAAGACCTGTCTCTCCCGCAACGCCGTGGGGGCCCCAACCCCAAACCCCAAACAAACCCCTACCGGCATCGGGGACACGATGCTCCAGCAGCATTATTATCACAGTAGTTGTGTCGTCACATCTTTCTTGTACATGCAGCAAGCCCCGGTGGTCTATCTAGTGGGTAACCTCGCAGCCTCCTAAGGGCCAGGTCATCATGGGTTCGAGTCTCGACAGAGTGAGTTGTTTTCTCACTAAATAAATCCTGGTCTAGACTACTAGGATGAAAGCGACACCCTGCAAAGAAAGCTCGTTGTTGTTGGTAAACCATAATCGACTTCGTAGCAAGTCGCGAGGGAAGGGATTGCTGTACTTTTCTCGCGATAAAAATACCTCAGGCAGGAAGGAACCGCGGGAGGGGGTCCAGCCCCACCCTCCTATTATCTATGTGACCCCGGTTGGGTCGTCTAGCTAGTAGAAGTGGAGGATAGGGGCCAGAGGGGCAGACGACAGAGTCCAATGATGGGAGACAAAAAAAGAAAAAGCAGATGAAACTACCTCACTCAGGCAGGAACCGCAGGAGGGGGTCCAGCCCCCCCCTCCTATGTGACCCCGGTTGGGTCGTCTAGCTAGGAGTAGAAGTGGAGGATAGACTAGGGGCCAGAGGGGCAGACGACGGAGTCCAATGATGGGAGAAATAAATAAATAAATAAATAAATAAATAAATAATAAAAATAAGAGTTTCTCTATCCGGGTGATTTTTTCCATCATGTCGTGCGGGGTGCGGGGTAGGGGTGAAAGCCACTCACTGAGCTGTAGTCTATACGCGAGATCGGCGCCCGGCACTCACTCAACTCGTTGTTTCTACCGCGACATGTATGTATGTATGTAGTCTTCTATAGTCTATTCCGGCTGGCGCTTTTTTGTTGCGCCGCTGCGTTTTCCAGCCAAAATATGTGGCGCTGTCGAGAGACAACACACTTAATGCACTCCTGCCTACTACTGCACCTACAGCAGACTTGCTTCGCTGTTTATTGTGGACTGTATCGTTGGTAGGAATACTAACCAGGTCTTCTAGTCCACAAGTTTGGAGACTACACAGGCTTGAAGTTCCAGATTGTATCGAGAACAGCGATGAGGGACGCAGAGCAACGAGCGTCGAAAATAAATAAAGCCACCACCCCACGGACTACTCATAATTTTGTCGTGTGTGGTCGGCGCCGAAAACAGGGGGTACAGCAGTAGCGTGTCATGTGAAGTGTAGATCAAGACACTCGCACGAGCTGAGCTACACGGCGTTGTTCGGGTGTGCAGTGTGCAGCACTGTGAAGCTGTGGCAAACACCATGGAAGGAGCAAATATCCTGGCATCTGGCGTCCACCCATTCACGGCAGCTTATCTATATCTACGCAATCTACGATGCTCATGCAGTGAATTTGTTCTGTCGATGAAAGATCCGGCGATGTTTTCGCAGGTCTCCGCTGCCGTATTCATCCCTACCGTGCCCCCGCCACATTGAGTGTTGAGGGGTGTGACAGAGAGGGAGCGAGCCTTCGTGAGAACGGGCTGCTGGCGAAGGGACTGAGCTTTCCCCCAAGACACACCACGAGGCGCGAGGGGGGAAACACAAGGGTTTTATTACTTTGGGCTGGCAAGGTTCCGTGACGGCAGAGCATCGGCCGAACACCAAAGGGCAGCGGCTTGTGAGAGAGAAAGTTGAGAAGCTTCCCTGCTGTGTGGCGATGGGCACTCATGAGGGAGGGGTTCCCATGGGCATGACGGAGGACGTGGGCGACGCTCAGGCAGAGGCGGACAGGTGGAACAGCAAAGGTGTGGCCGTGAGCGCGCGTTGTGTGTTGTAGGCATGTGTAGCACGATCGATGTAGCATCCAGATGCGAGACTGAAAATGCATGCATCGTGCGGTAGTATCGTGCAGCCAAATATGTTCTGTTGGGGCTGAGCGTCCGAGCCTCTTCGACACATTCCGATGTCGGCACGCACGCGGAGAGCAGAGGCATGCCGTTACACAAGGACGGGTGCTCCTCGGCACCGATACGATACGATGGACGAGGCAGTAATCACTCTCTCGGGGTACCACCCAACCTTGGCATCATCCTCTTCCTTTTGCTTTTTTTTTACTTGCCCCACCTTGCCGGGCGGAGTTATTTGATACACGTGCCGGGCGAGCACCGTGCTGAAAACGTGTTCATGGCACACGTGTATCGCGCTACCGCAGACCGCACTAAGCATTTGTCCGGTGCCCGAATGATTGTGTCTAGACTTTGTAACTGAGTACAAACAAGCCGCTGCTATTAAGGCAGGGCTCCTTTTACCTCGGAGATAGTTCTGTGGGGTGACAGGGTTGAATCAGTTTTTGGTTTTGGTTCAGGGACGGCGGGGCTGCGGTAGTCTCCATGAGAGCCGAGAGTCCTACTGTTGTATAGTCTATACAACAAATGATCGGCGTATCGCTGTGCGGGGAGGTGCCGCCTCGTGCATTGTGCACAAGTGGCGACTGGTGGCAACAAGGAGGCTCGTTTTTTTCACTATCTTGTCGTTATGTGCGCCTGGTGTGCATACGTCATTGTACTGGTGGGGGCTATGTAGCAGTGGGTCGCTGCTTACTGGATGGAAAATCCGACGTTTGAACGTTGAACATTCGCTGGAACGGACGTTGACTGCACCCCCAAGCTTTTGTGCAACACCAGCCAGCTATTATTTGATACCTGGAAGGCGCGTGCGGTGTTAACCGTGCAGCACATGTATCGGGCTGGCGTGTACTCGCGCTGAAAGAAGCACTTGGCCCCAGTGCGAAACGTTCGTGAAAACGACCGATCCTTCCCTACGTTGTAGGCGGCAGCACGTTGGATCTGGCGGTAACAAGAGTGCTCTCCTACAAAGCGGTCGGTATCAGGCTGGTGTCCCTCAACCCTCACTTGTGTTGGGAAGACTGCACCTTGACTACTCTCTAGAACGGGTAGGCTTTCAGAAGTGAACCAAACGCGGTCACATTTACCGCTCGACATTATTTTCTTATGGTACAGCAGTATTGCTGCTGTGAAGTGCAAATACGCAGTTTCGGTTGCTTTGCCGTTGGCAGTTGCTTCACGTTCAGGAAACGCGTGCTGTCTGAACGCGAGAGAGTGTCAGTCGTGTAATGTTAGTTCCCCTTCCGGCTGGTCTCATGGGTTTCGGTCCTCCAGGGGGTGCTTCAAGACTCAAGACGACAAGGGAAACGTATGGTAAGGGGAGGCAGAAAAGGGGTTTTGACGCTGGCTCCTAAATCCAAAGTAACAGAAAGAAACTTCCCGCCTGGGAACCTGGTATTAAGTTACTCTAAATATCAGTAGAGGACAACATCAAGAGGCGTCGTGCGTGCTGGCACGTTCAGGTTTGCTACTGGAGCTGACATATCGAAGGTCGCGGCAGCCTCGAAAACAGTCCGAAATCTGCGCCGGAACCAAGCGGCATCCAACCTTGTTACAGCCGTGCTCACCGCCACGGACCGAAAACCCCTGAACGGCAGTCGCTACAACAGCAGTGGCACAGCTCCTGCTGTGAACCCGCAGTTCAGGAGATTGGGGTCAGTGGCGGCGAGCACAAGCAGTAGAAGAGGTTGGGTGTCGGTCTCATCTGCGGAGATTTGCGGAGATTTGCGGAGATTGTGCAGCAGACCGCTACTACGACCCTCGATATCACCACCACAGAAGCAGCAGATTTGAGCGCGCCAACACGCACCCCCCGCTACTATTTTGTAGGACGTCCTCTAGTGATACAAGTACCACGCACCAGATTCTTGGCGACACAGCTTATTTAAGAGCCTGCCGTTTGGCTCCTTGGACTTGAATTTAGAATAGTCTGGATTTATCTTGATTTCAAAGGGGGCGTGTGGAGGTAGATGCTTGATGTATTTTGAGAAGCCTCTACTGCCGCCCTGTGCGAGAATCAACGCTTTCTCTTTTTCGCGATGCCTTCCTACTGGGCTTGTGTCTTTCGTGTGCCATTTCTGGTGCCCTGAATTTGTCAATATCAAAGCTCGCGTTCTGCGATATACTTCCCTTGACGGTACCGCAGTAATTTGTGCTCATGACGTATGTTGCATATTATCGAACTGCGGAGGAGGAAGAGGTTGACCAACGGCGGTATTTCGGTCGTGGCCGTTGCAACACATGTATTTACTACATAGGAGAGATTCGTTTGCTGTTGGACAGCTATTTAAGCTTCAGTTTCGATGTGAGTTGAACGTCCCCAGCCCTAACTTCAAAATTTCAATCATCCGTTCGCCGGGCTTCCTCTTGGCGAATAATCGCGCCCCGCCCGGTGGAGGACTTAGAACTAAGACACCCCAAAACTCTCCGGCGTGAGATCCAAAATGGATCGGACGGTGGAGGGGGGGGGGGGGTTCGTTGCTTGAA